ACCTGATGGATGTTCTCACATGAGTAAGAGATGCATTGCAGTTTTAACTTTTACGTTACAGAGACACTTCATGTATGGCTTACGAGTTTAGAGTTTCAGTAATATTTCAACGTGTTTTGTGTGATTTTCTTGAATATTCATTAGATCGAAACATTTTAATGTCATTATATTATATCTTTAGTGTTTAATTATTTTCATTTTTGAAACATTTCTCATTATAAGAACATTGCTGAATATAAATATCATTTCAAATATTTTACGATCGTCATCATTGTGACGTGTTTTTGCTTTATTATCAGCAGTTTAATAATATTTTTTACTTGCTCATAATTATTTTCAAGATGTATCAACAACACACACAAACACGCACACGCACAGACACGTACACATGATGCAAGTGATGATAGGCGGGAACTTCTTGCGTTTGAAGGCGGTCACCGCAACAGCAGGACCAGGTGCCTCAACTATTACTCCAACATTTTGAAGCAAATTTCATTGCTGTAACGTTTTTAAATACGAATTTTTTCGAATAAAATTATTAGCTGCAATATAAAGCATTTTTTGTTAAAAAAATGAAAGAAAAACAACTAAGCTGCCGTTACATTACGAATTAATACGTTAATACGACGCAAAAATATACTATGATGAGTATTTGATCAAATACAATCACTACTACAAAAAAAAACTTACCGGTATATCCGTGCAGTCGAACCATGTCTCCGCTAGGCCAAACCAGGCGTCTTTAGCCATTAGGCTATCAGTAATCTGTTAATTAAAAAAAATAACTTTTAATTGCACTAAATGAACCATTTCAATTATTCATTTCGTCACAACGTTTGAAAACCTTTGAAACTCAGCAAATTGTAAAGGCGATTGTTTGCTTATTTCAAAGGTAAAAAATGTTTTTGATGTTGTCCATGTTACTAGTATCTTACTATTTTTACCAGTGTATAACAGTATCAGTAATGCAGCATTAACACTACTCTTATTAGTAATAGTAATGATAATAGTAACCAGACGAACATTTTTTTAAATATCATAAATCTTAAACTTATCGATAGAAATGGCGTTTATAATAGTTTAATCCTAATGTAATGTTGTCACTATTTGCCCATTACAATTATTTCTTGAGTATTAATCAGCGATATAGATAACATCAAACCGCGCCAACACCAAGTCACCTCAACGATAATTGCTCAATTAACTTCCAACTCAATTAACTTCCAACCCAATTAACTTCCAACCCAATTAACTTCCAACTCAATTAACATCCAACTCAATTTACTTCCAACTGTTCAAGTGCAAACTTCTAATTGAAACGCACCGAATGAACCTGCCAGTCAATTATTCATTACGTCAGTCGAATTAAAAAGTTTTGAAACACTCCTGGGAAGTGGAAACAACGTCAACAACAAACACGAAACTAAACATATTTCATGAAACATCAGAGCCATTTGTAAAGTTTCTCTCTCTCTTTCCTTCTCTCTCTCTCTCTTTTATACTCTCTCTATTTTTAAAATCAAAAGTACCTGGAAACATCACAACAAAACAACACACATAACTAAAAACATTCGAGTGTCTCTCTCTTTCATTTTTATCTCTTTCTCTCCCTCTCCCTCTCTTTCTATTCTTTCTTCATTTTATTTTTTTTTCTCCTTCTGTATTTCTCTCCGCATTCATTCCATTTAAAATATTACCTGTAACAAACACACAAACCAAAATTTTTTGATGAAACTCAAGAGTCACTAGTTGAGTCTGTCTCTCTTTCTCAATCCTTTTTCCTACTTTTATTCTTTATTCTGTTTCTAACTTTAGCAACATCAATGACAATAATAATAATAATAATAATAATAACAACTACCAACAGCAATAATAATAATTATTATGATTAATATATTTTATATATAATATATTAATATCCAATTAAATTTCATCTCCAAAACATTATACATAAAAACACGAATCAGTGGACTGTGGAACAGTTGATAGGCTGGAATCTGTTGGCATTCAAACCTGGTCACTGCGATAGCAATGCTAGACATCTTAACCACTTCACCAGCACGTAAACCCTCTGTATACCTCTGAAGAACCAAAGAATCAGTCGTCCATGATGGGCACGTTTGGGAACTTTGTGCTTTGAAACGGAAAATTTTCATATTTTCACACTCACTCAACCTGCTAAATTATTCATCTCGTCAAAATTTAAAAATTTGGTTGGACAATTAAATCTCGAAACAATACGTTTTGACTGGAGTATGGCGATATTTGTTATTTTTATTATTTTATGACGCACATTGCTTGTAGGAATGTGCTGTTACTTTTTATACTCTATCTGAAAAGTATTTTTAAAATTTTCAGCACAAATATTACTGATACTTGATAATAGTATTCAGTTACTACAATTTAGTGACTCATTGCCATGAAATCTTACTAAATTCAATCGTAATTCTTTGATGGAGGTTAACTTTCGCGTAATAGGTGCTTTATTTCAATTCTTACCCTCAGTTTCGGTATGAAAATTAAATTTCGTTTCGTTTCGTTTAGATTTACCCAATGATCATTTAACTGTATTATTTTCTATGTAAAGTGAACAGTTTTTACAAAGTTCAAACATAATAAAATAAATAATAGATGATAGTATGCGTTCGGTTGGAATAAGATTTTTTCAGTGTACTGTACAATCAATCATGTGAAGAATCCATAGATACAAAATGAGTAATATTCAATTTGTAACCTTGAAAAATAGTATATTATATTATATTAATTACTAATCGAAATACTTAATCTTGTAACTGAAACTACTAATTTTAAACAGTAATCTGAGTAGGTTTTGGTAACAATTTACATTTCTAAGCAATCAGATTACAATAACTACTAACGAAGAAATTTCATGCAAGTAAAAAGTTTATACTAACTAAATACCCAGATTTTAAGGTAGTCAAATTAGTATTTCTAATAACTTTTTCAAGTTCTAAAACTACCAATTACTTAGTTTTTTCCAGAAGTAGTCAGATTGCAAAACAGATTAGCATATCTCGTTACTTTATCGCGTTATTGTCGCATCAATCACTCATCGCCGTGCATTTGCTGAGTGCCACATGCGAACGAGTTTCAAACGAACGTACAAATAAAAACAAACAACAAACCTAAATACAAAACAAAGAAAAAAAAACATACACGAGGTGAAAAAAACTTTAGTGACGTGTGCATCCACTATTTAAAATGTAGACTTTTTGATTTACCCCATCGTAAAAATAGCAACTCGTTCGTAATTGGTTAGAGGAGCAACTGAAGAACCAATGAGCGGCGTTGGTATGGCGACCCTCTGTTTACTGAAATTTTAAATAAATTGAGAAGTAGATGGGTGCGTTTCATCTGCTGGGAATATATTTAGGATTGGTGTGAAAAATCTTTTTCAAATTTTGAAAAAACTAATTTAAATTTAAGTTTGTTACAAATTAAGTTGATTTTAAAATGAGGTGTAAAGTATATCTGAGTGCTATCATTATGATATCATCAATTGTCAACATGTTAGCATCAGCAGTTGATAAAAAGTATGGAATGATAGGAGAGCCAGACAACCCCATGTGTTTTGTTTCCCAACCTACCACAGTACTAACCAACATACGGTCCTTACTGGAATGTTCTTCCAAATGTTCTCATTATGTTTCTCCCACTGATGGTAACATCATTTGCAACGCATTCAACTACGTATCCAACAATGCTAGTCATCCAGATAAACATTGCCAAATGTTTCATTTCAAATGTGAGGACCAGTTCAAGATTGTTCTGAATAGAACTGACTGCAAAGCATATCGGGTCAGTTGAATGAGTTTTTATTAAATATTTTTATAGTTGCACTTTCAAAGTTTATCACATATCAACCAATTGAATCCATTTAACAACAGGATGATTCGACCGTGCCAATACCAAGTTAGTTCATTATTTCCAAGTTTATAAGTTCATCATTCAGTCTATTTATTAATGTATCAAACTTTGCTAAGAATTGTTGTCTTTAATTATTTGATATTTTGCGGCGTAATTGGAATTTTTCAGAGGTGTAAAAATATTTGTTTGTTTATTGAATTTTAATCACGATTTGTTTTATAAATAATGTTTTTTAAAAAACTCACCAAATCTTGTTGTTTTGGTTACAGAGGCCAACATGATTAACTTCAGCATTATTTCAAATCCTTCATCACATGTTTTAAAATTTCTGGATGCGCAAACATGCAACTTCTAGTTGTGATGGCCTGTTGTCTAATGATAATTTAATAATTCTAACTGTTGTATTTAATTAATAGTTGTTTTACAAAACTCAAAATGTAGTTATAATTATTGAGATTGATATTGTCTCATTAAACGATTTTAAACTTTATAAATTTTTAAAATAATGTGTTCTATAGTAAGTAATGAGATTGAATTCATTTTTGTCATTACCTCTATCTATTTCATCATTTTATTCTCCATGCTTGTTTGTACCTTCGTACACAGTCACTTATTCCCACCATCCTTTAATGTTGTCTTATCTGTTGTAACAGATTCTGCGTCTGCCAGATTCTAATTTTTTGGTTAAAATAATTAATAAATCAGTTGAATCGAAATTTTTGAAAGCTCTCAATCACCCGCTGATCTTGAGCAAATCCTGCAACTTTCCATTCACCTTCAACGGTGGATTGTTCTACTCTTGTTCCAACTCACTACCTGGCATCAACAATCCTTGTGCTCTCTACATGTGTCTCACCGCTAATAGGCTGTTGTCCATCTGTCTTGATGATCAAGGTTTTTGATATATTTCATCATTCATAAGAATCATTGGTTATAATTTGTCAGATAAATTTCTTAAGAATTGTAGCATTTAATGACGGGAACATTTTATTTCACCAAAATAAAAATATTTTTATTTATAATTCGAAACAGCCTACAGCGCTGTCAACGAAACCATCTTGTTGGACATTCCAACGTTTGCTAACTCAACTCCTGTCACGTCTGTCAATGGATGGATTGTCATTCAGCAGAGGATTGATGGCTCAACTGATTTCTACCAAAATTGGAATGCATACAAAGTATTTTTTCTATCACAGAGTTAACTTATAATTGATATTAATTAAAAAATCAATCCTTATTCTAACCTGCAGTCCGGATTTGGAACTTACCACGGAAACTTCTGGTTGGGCTTGGAGAAGATGCACCAATTAACGGCATCGGCTGATTACAGGTTGAGGTTTGAAGTACAGAGCAGTGATGGCTGGGTCTCTGATGAATACGATCATTTCAAGGTCCATCTTAGGTTCAACTATTGAAATGTTCATAATTTTAAACAACACATTCCCTTCAGATAAACTCCGAAATGAAAAAATACTCTCTGAGCGTAAGTGGATACTGGGGCGCAAACAACGATATCCTGAACAGTAATGACAACAACCACCACAACGGCATGATGTTCTCTACTTTTGACCAGATCAACACGCCAAATGGATTCGATTGCGCCTCAACTCATTTGGCAGGAAATTGGTTTAATTACTGTTTCAACCAGAATGTTAATGGCCGTTATGATGTTTCATTCAATTACATCTTCAATAAGACGATGACCCGTTGTTCGGCCTGTAGGATGTTGATCAAGAAAAATTTGTAGACAGATGCAGGTAGCAAACTTTCGTGATGAACATGAAGTGACATGTTATTATATTTGTCAGCGTGTTCGTGCTAGTTGAGTTGTTTCTCATTTTAATTAGTAACACACTAAATCAAAATAGTGTAGAAAGTGCTTATTTAATATTTTATGTTATGTCATTCTCTGTCAACTTGAACGATTCTTAAAACAAACTTCACGCCAGGACATCTCCGGATCAAATTTTCCATTGGCAAATTTTATTTTTTACTTTCATTAGAAAATATTTCTTTCAAATGCTGTGACGAAGTTTGATTACAGTTATGTTAATACGGCAAGATTTGGTCAAACATTTCTTTGAAGTTTCCGGATGAATGAATGATTAAATGAATGAATGAAGGAATAAATGAATGAATGAGTGTATGAATGAATGAATGAACGGACAAACGATTGAGTTTTATGTACATTGAATAAATTTAAAACACAAGAATACAAACTTATATGTTTTATTCCTTCCAGATCTAAATTAATTAAAATCAATTATTCAATTCATTCGATTAATCATTCAATTAATCATTTAATTAATTAATTATTATATACATATATATTTGTAGT